TTGTAAAGGTTGTGTGCTGTTTGTCCTCTGTTGAGAGGTTTTCTGTGTAAAGGTTGTTGTGGTTTTGAAGTACAATTGAGTATCTCGTGTACACAGATGTTGCTGCCATATGTTACAGCATTACTAGTAATCAAATTACAGCAATAAGGTTATTTCCCCCACTAACTATTAGTGTAATAATATTACAGTTCTCCCCCAGAAAATAATGATTAGTTAGTATTTTTGTTGTCACCCTCAACTGATTTGAAATCCAACATCCTCTGATTTATTTGTGTGATTGTGGATTGTATTCAGCAGCTGGAAATGTGACATTCGTTTGATTTTAACAAACAAAACTGGATTTTAATTGTCGTAAGTCTTAACGAACAATTCTGTGGGAGTATCAGAAGAAGTAATATAACTGGTTTAACTAATTACAGGGAGTTGGTAAAGTAATACTACTAGTTTTATGTGATAAAAACATCATATCGCGCTTATATTTGTCAGATATTGTGATATGATTTGCAGTTTAATAGGAATGATCATGTTAAATTTGTTGGTGTCTGTAGCAAATAAACACGTTTTCTTAACGTGAGAGAACAAGATTTGTAGGAGGGCATCTCTTCACAACGACAATATTTCATTATAAAGCTGTTTTGTCACATTTTACCAAACATATTCTATGTTGCGCCCTCATGCCGCAGTCGTCTTTACTCACTTCTTGTGTCCGTTCGTAGATAACAGGGCCTGACGGAAAGCAGATTTACAAAGGCGACAGAGAGTCCAGTGGGAAATACTCTGTGGCAGCACACATGGACGGGACCTACAAGTTCTGCTTCAGCAACAAGATGTCAACCATGACACCCAAGATCGTCATGTTCACGATTGATATCGGAGAGGCCCCCAAAGGCCAGGACATGGAGACCGAAGGTACACTGAGGGTTTACGCGTGGGTCAATGCGTCTGAATTAAGACATTCTGTATCTCCTGTGTTTAACTCCCACGTGCATCGCGCAGAGCTTTCTGTTTTCTGCTGTTATTCTTCAGTGTTTGTGGTCGTTTCTTTCCCTGTTTGACTTCATTCTCGGCGCTCTTTCCCTCTGTGTAGGTGGTGACAGCTGGGATGGTAGGGCGCAGGGCAGAACCGCTGTCGTGACATAGACTTTTGAGTTTGTGATGCACTGCGGAGTTTTCTCTAACCAGTGTTGTTTCCATAGTTTAAACTAATATTGTGCATTTCTACTTCACATAGGAAGTTGTGTTGTTTGTGAATGGTTTGACTGTCCGCACAGTGAGAACGTTTAGGGGATCTATAAATGTCTCCGGTGATGAGATGGCATCGCCTGCGACATACGTCACAATCGTTTACGCATGTACCGCATACATCATGCATGGTTTTTTTATTGTGCACTACAACTGTGCTGTGGCCTGTCGCTGACCGTTCCTTTTACCTGTTTCAGCTCACCAAAACAAGCTGGAGGAGATGATCAACGAGCTGGCGGTCGCCATGACTGCTGTAAAGCACGAGCAGGAGTACATGGAGGTTCGCGAGAGGATACACAGAGCGAGTGAGTCCTGAGCAGAGTTATTAAAGTTTAATTTTTGTTTTCAATTTAGGTTCAGTTAGTTTCTAGAGTGGGTTTGCTCAGAGTTTAGTTTTTACTGTTGAAAAGTAATTAGGTTTAGATTAGCTTTAGTTTTTTAACATCATAATAATAATAATAATAATATGGGCGTACAATATAAAGACATTGTCTCAATAAACACCTTCGTTTTCTAAGTACACAATATTGTTTCTGTTAGTTTTTATTGTTTTCTAAAGTGTAGGTAACTGAAATGTTTTTTAACACCTAGTTTTTGTGTAGTTATTTATAATAACCGTGGTCATTAAGAACATGTACCAAGCAGCAGTTAATAGTTTGAATGTAACCTCACGCACTCTTCTTTTTTCTCCTCCTAGTCAACGACAACACAAACAGCAGAGTGGTGCTGTGGTCGTTCTTCGAAGCTCTGGTTCTGGTGGCAATGACACTCGGACAGATTTACTACCTGAAGAGATTTTTTGAAGTACGGCGAGTGGTGTAGTGCGATTACATGATCCCTCTGTGTCCTCCACTGTTTTTTCTCCAACACCAAGACAGTTCTGGAAATGAGACTGGCAGTTTTGAGTAAAGCCTACATATGATTGGACCTCAGATGTTTCTGTTCTCCTGTTACCTATATTTGGTTCCTCCTTTAAAAAAAAATGTAATTAATGTTTGTTTGGAACGAATGGCCAAAAGATTCTGAGATAGATGTCCGTTTTCATTAGTTTTTCTTTTTTTTTGTTCAAAACTGTTTGATAATTACAGTTTAAGCACCAATTACTAGCCAGTACAGTTTTGCCTGTGTGAATGACTGTCAGGCTCATAATTTTAAGCAAAGGCAAGCAGATGAAAAAGACATAAATGAATAGGCATGTGTGGAGTCTCCACAGGAGAATGTCGCCCTTATTAAGATATAAATGGGACCCTTTTCCTCTGATTTAAAAAAAACGGCAAATGAGAAAAAAATAAAAGCATTAGATTTTTGTCTGAGATGCCGCAGGTTTCGTCCCAGCGTCTACGCCGAGTCAGACAATGTGCTGGCAGATATGTGATATCTGTATATTGTGTTAGCCCTCTCAAAAAACAAATTGCACTCCTAATGAATACGTCTAAATATCTGAAGGATTTACACTGCAGCTGGTCTTTAAGGGAAACTGTGCAGCTTCTATCTCCGTCTGTTGATTCATAGCGATCCATGCCACGAGGGGAAGGGTGGGGGGGGGGGTGAGGGGGCTTCGGTGGGGACCTTGTTTTTTGCGTGGGGGAAAACTGTGTAAAACTCTACGTAGTTCCAAAAACAGCAACAGGCGAGTGGTTTTCTTGGCCTGAGAGTTCACGTGTTGATTTAATTTTCAAAACTCCTAAATTAAACTTTCACTTAGCAGTGAGACCCGAGTGGAGCTGAGGCAGGGTTGGATTTTAAACTGAACTACTTGAGGTGCAACTCCAAAAACAAAGTGTAGAGGAATACTGAAAATACATGTTACATGTTGATTGAGGCTGGCTGGCTGGGTAGCGTGTGGGGGGGGGGAAGGGAGGGTCTGACACCTAATGACTGCTGTGTGCTTTAGTTGCTTCTACTATAGTTATTTTGTTGGGGTTGGGGGATTTTAAATTATATGATTGTATACAATTTTGAACCGTTTGTTTTTTCTTGGAGCATTTCCTGTAACATGCAACTGTTTGGATGATGCCTTTCAAATGAATCTCTCTTACCTTTTTCTATCCCCGTACAAGGTAAAAGCTGGAGTCCAAGTAAAGTAGCTTCACATCTAGCACACGGCTGCTGCATCACAAGTGTTGCATGTTACCGATTATGCTCCAGTTTTGTATTAAAAACAATCTTTGGTGAGCTCAGGCAGGTGAACTGCTCTGTACACAGTCTCTTCCTTTTTGTGATTACAACAAAATCTGGTAAATGGATCTGTACAAATGTAGAATGGTTTGTCTGTGGAAAATGCCCCAGGTTTCATAATAAAGCCAATATTCTGTACAATTACTCGGATGTCTTTTCTTAACGGTAACGGTGTGTTCGGATATGATCTGTTAAACTCAGATGACCAGGAGGAAAACGTAGATTTAATATCCAGATTTATCTTCACAACAATCAGTTACAATAAAATACTGCCGATCTGTTACTACATCAAAAATAATAATCGCTTATATTGTATTTATAGTAAGTAAAGTTTTGAATGTAGGAGTTTTACCTACAACAGTAACAGGTATTTTCTTATCACTTTAACCTGAGTGAAGGTGTGTAAGTGGTGTCAGTCACACACTGTACACAAGCACAGTTTTGTCCTACTTGTACTTGAGTATTATGCCTTACTCTTTCTATATACTACTTTATACTTTTTAAACATTGTTTAAAACTTACAAGTTATTTTGTGTGTAACTTCTTGTATATTCAAATTCTACATCCAAAACGCATCATTTACTAATTATAATGTGTTGTTGAAAATGTAATTACTTGTATATAAAGTGCGTAGAATTAGCTTTAACTTGAGCAGTGACAATTAAAATGTTGCCTACGTGTTAATGCATCAGTAATTATAATCTAATATTATATACAGTGAGATGACCCTCTGAAAAGATGATTTCGGCGTATTGATTACCTTAAATTTTGATACTTAAAGTGTGTTTTAATATATTTGTTGGATACAATTCAGAAAGAATCAGCCTAATGAAGTCACAGAACCATATTTAACATTTTAAAACTTACTGTTCTATATAAATAATTACAAAGATAAGAAAGATAAAGTCAAATAAACACTTTTTTTTGCCATCAAACTGTCTTTTGTAGTCTAATTGGTTTCTTAATTACTGTCTCACATGTCTGCTCAGCATGTTTAATGTTTGTGGAATATATATAACAGTACATTTACTCAATACTGTACTTACAGGTTACTTAAATACAGGTTTGAGGCACTCACTTAATTTGAGTACACTGAAGTGTTATATTCTCAGCATTATGGTAGATGCGGAGAAACAGGCTATTAAGAACAGTAAACTATAATTCAAACCTACATTTAAAATAAAATATGTTTAAAGCATTTTTACTGCACCAATGTGGAGAAATTTTAACAATAAAATTCCATATTTGTACCTCCAAGTGGCATCTTTTCTTATATTTGAGGTACAGTAAAAACAGGTACAAATATGGAATTTTATTGTTGAATTTCTCCACATTGGTGCAGTAAAAATGCTTGATATTAAGTATGTTTTTTATTCATCATGGGCGCATGAAACACTTTAATGTAACATTTT